ACCACTCACCCCTGCCACCCCGCGCTGCTTGTGCCCCATGCTCCTAATATGTTTTAATATTATCTTAAAACATCTTTATAAGTATCAATTTTCAAATATTAACAGTAGAAAATGATTTACTTGGGCAAACATCTTTCTTCCTATCAAACAATGGAAAATTTTGATGGGAAAATAACTTTCCTTGGAAACCATTCTCCCTTGGAAAATAATTTCCTTGAAAAATCTTTCTCCCAACCAAACAGACCCTTATTGTTAGATCAAGAATAAGGTTCCACTTTCCTTCTAAGGAAAATTTCGTGTATAACTAATTATTTTTCTAACATCCAACTCTTTTTTTCCAATTCTCAAGAACAAGTTGGACACCACAAGTGTCTGAATATGACACCATCCATTGGTTTCCGTCATGATAGATCTTCTAGTGGCTTTCAAAAGAATGCATTGGTACACTGAATCAGTGGTAGATCATTCAAAGCAGGCGCAAGTAGTAATCATTACAGATTTAATGACATAGACAATAGGGTAACTCACAACAGCTACAATGTTGTTAGAGGTGGTGTTCATCTTGTGATGATAATGGAGTTTTTCGCTCTAAATTTGACTACAGATCTAATAGTTGTGAAAAAGTTTGAAGCATGGATGGATGTCACTTGCGGTTGTGGTAGGCTCTTAATGTTATCAATGTCGCGATATCCTTCACAGTAATGCTACACATGAAATTCTAGTTTGGCAGCCATTGGATCTAGAACGAAATCAAACATTCTAGCACTTGATGTTCAATCCCATCATTTCAAGAATTTCAAAATGCTAAACCAATCTTTTGGTGAATACATGGTATATCATACTTATCAGCGGAAAAACATAGTTTGGAGATAGAGATGCACAAAGTTTGAAACCCAATTAACAACATTTTGCTCATTCTTTTACACGTATTTTGGTTTAGTCATTAGTGGATGAAATATGAAGGGGTAGGACAGAAATGGATCTGGTTGCCCTGATCCAAGGTCTTACCGATGGTTGAAAGAGGAAGAACTTTAGATCCTATAGTCCTTGGCTACCCGTAATTAGGAATATTTGCTTCATTGCTTCAATGATAATTTGCTGAATAAATACATTGGCAAAGCCTTATTTTACATTAATAAACTTGACAAGAGTTCCCTCGCATTGTCCCATTGATTTTGGCGGTTGCTCCCGGGCTAAAAAAAGGCAAATCCTAACAAGACGAGTCTTACCCTAATGTTTCTAGGAAACATAAGTCCTTATTCAAAATCCAAGAATATAAAATAACAATAGGAATAGGAAACTACTTCTTTTCTCAATATTAATAATACGAAACTAATAATAGAAATTAGTACTCCCTCCGTCCGGTATTAAACTTCCCATTTGGACTTTTTCCCATTTTTTGAAGTGTTGACTTTAGGATGGAAATGTCCAAAATACCCTCCCCTCAATTGTCTCCACCCACTACCCCTGCGGCCCTGCCCCTTGCTCCCAGCCTCCCACCATATCATTTCCGTCAATCCCATCCCACCGCTACTGCAGGCCCTAAAGTACCGCTGACGCCCCACTATCGCCGCAGCCCTCATCACCATCTCAGCCCCTAGATCTTTACACCTTACAGATTTAGAATAAAAACAAATAGAACAGAGGGAATAAGAAGAGGAAGAAAGAAGATAAATTGATTTGGAGAAAGAAAAGAGGGATGAGAAAGAATTGGGGGGAGAAGAAGAAGAAGAAAGAGGAGCGGATCTGGAGGGAAAAAGGAGGACGAGAAAGAACGGAGGGGAGGAGGAGGAGGAGGAGGAGGAGAAGAAGAAGAGATCTGGAGGAAAATAAACAGAAACGAGAAAAAACAGGGGGAGAAGAAGAAGAAGAAAGAAGCAAAGGAAGGCACTTGGTGGTTGATGTATTTCCACCTCTCCGACCAATTCTCAAGAAGAAGAAGAGGAACAAATGTAGAGAGAAGAGGAAGGAGGAAAAGAGAGGAGAGGCGAGGAATTAAGGGAGGAGAGAGAAAGGGGGAAGGGAGAGAGTGAATATTATTAAGTGGGGGTATTTTGGGTAGTTAGTGTATGAAAAATTGAAATGGGAAGATTATTTCCGGACGGAGAAAAAGGAGAAATGGGAAGATTATTTCCGGACGGAGGGAGTAATAGGAAACGACTAAAAAATAATAGTAAACTATTAATAATAAGTAATTCATGAAACCCTATGTCAAAAAATTGCTGGCAAGTACCCCCAGTTATATGATAAGAACTACAGGGTACCCTTAATTTTAAATATACATTGTCAGGTACTCAAATTATTCGAAAATGTACCAGCAAGAGCCATCCATCAATTCCTCCGTTAATTTTAACTTCATCATCATCCACATCATCACATATTCATCATCATCATCATTTGATTTCCCTCCTCTGATCTAGACACCTAGCCTGCCCTTTTTACTTTTTCATAATTATTATTATTAGTAAAATTAATTATTGTTTTACTATTTTTTTGAAGAAAATATTGTTTTACTACTTTAATTCTAAAAAAATACTAATGCCCTACCAAAAAAATTATATATCCCCAATAAGCTTTTCAGTCTCTACTTGGGTAAAAAAAAGACTAAAGTATTTTAAATCTTTAATAAAAAAGTTGGTTTTAATGATCAATTTATGTACTCTCAACGTCCCAAATTTGATTACAAATTACAATTTATGAGGTAAGATATCGTATCTTTTGAAATCATTTTGTTTACAAATTGTTACATCAATAAAAATAAAAATTAGATATCAAAAAACTACATCAAAAGTTCTACAAGATAAGAGGTCACAAGAATATTTTTTTTTATTAAATAATCAATGAAAATACACAAGTAAACAAAAGTTAACGAGAGGTGAGAGAAAAAAATTAAAATCAAAATTGGAAAGGAGGGAGTATAATTTATAAATTTAAAATTGTTTACTCCGGTATTAAAAAATATGAGATTTTACACATTATTCAAAATTTGTTTGCATTATTCTAACAATGTGCAGAATCTCAAATTGTATAAAAATCATTTTGGGACATACATAGTACGGAATAATTCACAATAATAAGATAAAATTTAACGCTATGTATTTTAATGATAGAAAGTGTTAAATTTGATTGACAGAAATTTAACTTTTGTGGTGTTTAATGATAGAAATAGTGTTAAGTTTCATCTTATTATTGTAAATTATAACGTACTACATATATCATATACCTAATTAAATACCAGAGTAAACAATTTCAAATCTATAAGTTATACATAAATTGATCATCAAAATTAATTTTTTATTATATATTTAAAATACTCCAGTCCTTTTTTAGCCAAGTGGAGATTGGGAAAGGTTATGGGGGGTATATGACTTTTTTGGTGGGCAGTGGGCACTAGTGTTTTTTAGAATTAAATGTAGTAAAACAATAATTAGTTATAACAACAACAACAACAATAGTAGTAATAATAATAATAATAATATGAATAGTATTAATAATACTAATAACAACAACAATATAAGAAGAAAAAAGGGTGAGAGATGGGGGGTCTGAATCAGAGGAAAAGAAGTAGAAGAAGAAGATGATGATGGTGGTGATGATGATGTATATGATGAGGACGAAATTAATGGAGCAATTGACGGAGGTCTCTCGTTGGGAAGTTTTCTAATAATTTGAGGTACCTGACAGTGTATTTTTAAAATTGAGAGTACCTAGTAGTTCTTATCACAAAACTAGGGATACCCAGCAGCAATTTTTTGACCCTATGTATATAACAAAGAACAAAATCCAAGAATCCAAGAATGTTTCTAGGAAACGCAAGTCCTTATTCAAAATCCAAGAATATAAAATAACAATAGGAATAAGAAGCTATTGCTTTTCTCAATATTAATAATACAAAACTAATAATAGAAATTAGAAATAGGAAACTACTAAAAGATAACAGTAAATTATTAATAATAAGTAATTCATGAAACCCTATGTATATAACAAAAAAAACAAAATATATTACTACTTTTGTCCCGCTAATTTTGGGACATGGAATACTTACACACAAATCAAGAAAAGTAGAATTGTGTGGATGATATTGATGTTCAAAAAGTAAGAAAAAGTAAAAATGTGAGCCACATAGAACATGATTAAATATGGTATAAGATAAAAACAGCGAGACAAACAATGAGGTAAAAAGGTACAAATATAGTATGTTGGACTGTCCGAGGGAGTATAATATAGCCATAGGAAAAGTATATTTTATTTTAACAACTTTTCCATTGCAATCAAATCTTTATTTTTTGTGGTCATCCCGATGGGGCCAAAGATTCACTACTTTTGGTTTTGGAGTATGATGGAATAAAGCAAAATGGTTCTTTAAATTGTGTGCACTTCTTTTAGTGAAGTGTTTTAGTGAAGTGGCAGTTGGTCAATGCAAATTTTGACGCTCACATGGGTCATCTGGGAACAACTACTCTATGTTTTAAACATAGGGGCTAGGCTGCGTCATCCAACCCCACTTTACACTGCAATGCGCGGTAACCTTTGAGGCACTGGGGTAATGTTGTTGTTGTCATTGGTAAGCCTTATCTATAACAAGTTTTTTTTAATGTTTTTTGAATAGTTTGCAATTGGATGATTTTCTGATCCAACTATTTTTATTTGGCTACTTGCTTTTGCGAATTGCTATTTCTATACACTTGACGAACTTGGTGGATCTCCAATAGAATGGTGAGGTTTTTATGTTGTGACATGTACAACCAATGTTTAACTCTAGACAGAAGTCTTTTTGATGCACTCTATTCCTGTGGGTGTTTTAAATCCCAATGTGATATGCCAAATTTTTTATGCAATATAGGTACATGTTACCCTCCCTAGACCCCACTTGTACACTGAGTTTGTTGTTGTTGACCATACCTTTGTTGTAATATGCTGAATTGGTAAGCTGATTGCTGCATGCAATGCTTGTAATCTCAAAGACTTTTTTTGTTTTACTTACCTCATTTCTTAGTATTGTACAATCACCTGGTTCAAAACGGTCAGAAGCATTCCTGGAACTCAGGGAAAGTATTGTTCTTACACCTAAGAATGTCCAGGTATGGTCAGGCCTTTTTCTTGCTCATTATACGTTATGGAAACTCAGTTTAAAAATCATTATTTAGGAAATTACTATTTTATTTCATAATACTACTAACTTTTGCATGAACCATTGTTGCTATGTCCAGGCATTAAGGACACTTTTTAACATAGCTCATCGGCTGCATAATGTTTTAGGCCCTTCATGGATATTGGTATGTTCGTTTAACGCTTCAACCCTGAGAGTTTTTCTTGCTTAAATGATGATTATCAATTTCATATCTATAAAGAATGCAGAACCAAACTATTTATAGTGTGTGTAGTTTTAGATATTGAAATGGTGCAACAGGGGGAAAATGCCACTTGTGAATCGGGTAGAACAAAATACAAGAGAGTATGGAAAGGAACAACCACAAAGAAAGTATATGAACTGTAGAACTGAAATATTCATAGCATGTTGAATAGATGTTGTAGCATGTGCTATATGCTATATGTACGCTGTAAATTAGCTGTGTGCGAGCTTTTTTACAAATGAGTGGGACTGCTTTTACAATTTTATCAGAGCTGATTGTTTAGTTGCGAGGTAGCTGATTTTTATGTTTGAGGGATTAGCAGTTTCTCCCAAGTTGAAGCATGTAGGACTAGGAATGCTTCAAGCTTGTTGCACATTATTCTTAACACTGAAGAGTGAAGACTATGATTGGTTTATTTAACTGGGATGTGCAAAATTGATACAGAAAGCTGGAAACTTGAACTTTGAAATTGGTACCTTGAAGTAGAAGTTTACTGTAGTTCACTTTGTTTCCTTTTGTTTCTCCTTTTCTCTCTTCTTTCGATTCTTTTCTTCTATTGTTTTACTTCAACTTTTTTACTTCCTGAGTGACTGATAGGGCATCTCTGTATAAATTATTTCACATAGTTGATTCGAGAAAAAAATCTAAAGATGGGAAAATGATGGGATTGCAATTGCAATGCAAGGTACTTCAGATTTCTCATGAGAAACTTCTGTGGCATATAAATAAGCCAACTAAGGAAAGTTACAGAAAGATATAGTATAGAAATGCTTGTTTCTTAACTTGGAGAAGCACATAGAAAGATCAAGACTTCCAAATTTGTAGGGAAAAGAACACTGCAATTAAAAAGGCAATGGCGGTGGGACAGATATGGAACTTTTGAACAGCAAACATTAAGCCTTAATCCGTAATCCATTTTTACCCCACATAAAAAGCATACAACTTACATGCATGCTTTTAATTGCTAAGTGTGCTGATTGTTGGTTTGCTATGGTCAATAATATTGAGCACACTTTTTGAAACTTTTTAGGTACTGGAAACACTAGCTGCTCTTGACAGAGCTATTCATTCTCCTCATGCAGCAACACAGGTAGTTTTAAAATCTATCAAAGAATTCAAAGTAAAAGAATTTTTTGTTCAAATTTCAATTGAATGAATTGATAGGAACATTAGTGACTCTAGTTGGCGCTTGTTGATATGCTTATTGATAAACTGTTGTTCTTGTCTTCATATGACAGTTGATTTAAGTGCCTTTTAGAGGGGAATTAATTATTGTTATTTTGTCTACCAACAGTTTTGCAATTGGATAACTTTATGTCATATTATATTCACAATTCACTTTGCTTCCTTTCGATTTCAAACGGTTCAAATAACCTCATTAGTCTACTGTTGAATAATACAGGAGGTCTCTATGGCTGTTCCAAAACTAACAAGGGATTCATCTGGCCAGTACAGTGATTTTCATATACTGTCTTCTTTAAACTCTCAGGTTTTCTTAATTGTCTTTAATTTTCTCTACATCTAGCTTTTCTCTGTTGTTGCTGACATGCTGTCTTTGCCATAATTTTAATTTTCGAATTTCTTACAGCTTTTTGAAAGCTCAGCTTTGATGCATGTATCTGCAGTCAAATCCCTACTTTCTGCACTACGTCAGTTGTCACATCAGTCCCTCTCTGCAACGGTTAGCTTTGTACAAGCATCAAATCAAAAGGTCGGAAGCATCAGCTTTGCGATTGAAAGAATGCTTTCGGTCCTAGTCAACAATCTTCATAGTATGTTCTTTATCTAAATTCAATCATTTGGATCCTTTTTTGTCTCCCTCGGTTCCTCTTTTTTTTTGTGCGTACCTTTCTAGGTAGAGATAAGGTCTGTGTACACTCACCCCAAACCCCACTCGTGGGACTATACTTGGTAGGTTGTTGTTCTATACTTGTTTTACCATTTTTGTCAGTCTCTTTATTTTGGCCCATTCAATATTCGGTAGCTTTTGTGTGACTCATGTTCATTCTTACCTTTTCTTATTTATTAACATCAATAGCCACAACACAATTCTAGTTTTCTTAATTTGCTTGCCACCACCCCCATGTTCCAAACATAGTGTGACATGGGAGTATATTGATATATTATGAAATTCTCAACTACAAATGGTTTGCCATTCTATTTTTTCTAAAATTACATTAATAAAATAAAACACATTTTTTCTCAAGTGTTTATGTTCACATTCCCTTTAAGTGCATGCCTAGGTGACTAGGTAATGCAACACATTTTTCTCAAGTCTTTGTTTTCACATTCCCTTTAGGTGCATGTCTAGTTGACTAGGTGTGCAATGCTGTGAACTTAAGGATCTAACAAGTTTGCCACTTGATATTTTGTTTTTTGTTTTTATCTGCTATTTTTTTAAATTCATCATTGGAGGTGATTATAATGGCCACGTCATGGAAGATGCAGAGGGGTTTTGAGGAGGTGCATGCCAGGTTTGGATGTTGCGTTAGGAATTTAGAGTGGGTTTCTCTCTTGGAATTTTCTTTAGAGAGTGTTTGGATGATCATCAACTCTTTCTTTCAAAAGTCGGAGGACCACTTGATAACTTTTGGCATTCATGTGTGGAGGTTGCAGACTGATTACTTCCTCCTGTGTAGGTGTAATTCGGAGTGATTGGTCGAAGAAGTGCTATGGAAGGATGCAAAAATAATTCTTAATGGAATAAGTGCTCGAACTTTAGAGGGGGGTGAATAGTGTGGCACAAAAATGTTGCTAAATTTTTGCGGAATAAAAAGCGTAGGAATAAAGTATTAAGTGCGAAAAGTAAGGTGAAGAAGAACACAAAGATTTTTATACTGGTTCACCCATAGTTATTAAAGGTGTGCGCCTCTCTCGCCTAAGGTTCCTTAGGCGTTGATGAGACCCTATGTTGCCTCAAGACGATTGGGTGAGGCAATTTTAGAATGGGGACACCTGGCGAAAGGTGTGAGGCAATCGGCTATTCAGTCTTAGGGCTTTGTTTTCTTATCTCTGCTATTATCGTCTCCCATTCACTATTATCGGCTTCATCTACACTTCTCCCGACTATTTTGATTAGTTGTAAGTCTAATTTTACCTACCTGACCCGCCTCAATTTGAAATGGTCAGTCAATTTTCAACCTGGACAATCAATTTTAAAAGGTTAAATGGAAAGTCTAGGGAAGAAGGAAAAGGCCAAAAAACCAATTGTCAATTGGGACAATCCATTTTCACGGGTCTCTAAAAAGTCTTGGGATGGACTATGCAGCAAGACAATCGATTGCCTAAAGACAGATTTGACTTCTGTGGCTTTCATGCAAGTGAAGTTAATAACGTGAAGGTGAACCAAGAACAAAAAAATGTGGGCTAAGATCAAAAACCAAATATCGCAATTATGGTTAAAAGTCAAAAACCTTTTTATGCATATATAAACATGATTTTAGTTGAGCCAAGTAACAAGATAAATTAATTATTGATATTCCAAGAGTTCTACCTAATGACCCACGTCTTTGGGTCTTCAGTCTTGAACTCTTTTTCTTTCGTGGCTTGTCTTCAAGATTCTTGGCACTTGTTTAAGCTTGAAACCGTCACTACACATTATTTGGCCCTGGATTAAGCTTGAAACCATCATCACACATTGTTTGTCATTCATCAAAACCTGCACTTGGAAATTATGTTAACAACCACCAAAACACATATCAATTATTTCCATGCAAAGTCTAACAGTGATAACCTTACAACCCAATATAAGTTACTGGTGATAGATGTTGCCTTGAGATGGGTGATGAAGAGGTGGACTAACTCATATCTCCCTGGAGAGCTTGGGAAGGGAGAAGATTCCAAAGTTGGTTCCTCGAGTCTAAGAGAAAAGTGCATTGGAGACAAGAGGTGAGGCCCACACAACATGTGGGGCAGATAACTTGTGGGCCAAGACCGCAAACCGCATCTGACGCGAGGTGTTAGGCATAACCTGAGGTAATGGGAGCCGACATATAGGGATTGGTGGCGGAGTGACTGGTGATGTAGTTCAAGGGAATATGCACGCTAAGAAAGCAATGCATATGAGGTTAATGGAATGTTGAGATGAGGAGGTTTTAGGGGATGTTAATAGTTGAGTATAAGATTGAACGTATAAGGACCTGGAAGAGCAACGAAGTAACAAGATATTGTTCCGGCTAGCTAGGTGCATGTGGGGAAGGCCCGAGATCTGGAACATGTTAGATGCGTGAATGGTCGAGATCTCATTGTTTTGTTCGATGGTGTATTTGAGAAACCAGTGGTGGGCTTACTTTCATGGGCTTATGGATGTTGTAGGGCATGAGAGCATAGACCTATAAGGACTTGGAAGAGCAATGAAGCGACAAGAGATTGCTCCGGCTAGCTAAGGCGCACAAGGCCTGAGATCTGGAACATTTGCGATGTGTGAATGGCGGCGATCACATTGTTTTGTTCAATGGTGTACATGAGAAACCAGTGGTAGGTTTACTTTCATGGGCTTATGGATGTTGGAGGGCATGAGAGCATGGTACTAGGTGAGTTGGAGCATTCTAAGAGGTTCCAAGATCTTGGGGGGCGCATTAGTCAAATGGAGGCAGTGAGGGCCATTCACAGGATGAGAATGGGGAGAGAGTCGGAAAGCCATGAGGCCGAATGAGATTCTGATGGAGTTTTGGAAGATTGTGGGTAGTAGTGGGCTGGCCTGGATTACCTAGTTCTATAATGTTTTTTAGAATAATTAAGATGCCCAATGAGTGGAGGGAGAAAGTGGCGATCCAGTTGTACAAGGGCAAATATGATAATTATAGAGGCATCAAAATACTTAGTTGCAGCATGATAGTTTAGGAAAATATAATTAGGCTAGGTTGAGGAACGAGGTGTGCATTTTCAAGAATTCGTTTGGTTTCGCATGTAGGTAATTTACATATTTGGTGAAAAATGAGGTGGTACATGTTGAGGCTTAGTTGCAAGAAGCTAGGCTGAGTTGATGAGGTTGTTTATCCACATACTTAAAGAGAAGTTGGGTGAGGAGATGCACGAGGCTCGCTGTAGTGGGTTTGATAAGGGGCAGAGGTTGACCTATAAGGGTAAAAGGGATGTCATTAGACATGACTTTAGGATCTTACACGACCTTACTTTGTCAGATCTGGCTGTCTAATTCAGTCTAATATGATTCTTTCTCATATGATCTGAATCTTTCTGGTACCTTCTGTTAGACAGGACCAGAACAAAGCAAAACAGAATATTTTATTGCTGTAAAAACTGGCCAGGATTATTTGTGTTCTCTAAATATAAATAGAGAACAGACCAACATGACTTTTACTAACAACCACCCCTATTACAAACCAACACACCTATTAACAATAGAAACTACCCATAACTGCCTTTTAGAAACTACCCACTGCTTTTTTAATTAATTAAATACGTAAAACACACTAAACGACACCACACTAATTGACTCTATACTAACTGACCCGAACATTGACTCATTACCCATTTGGTTATATGTGAACAAACCCGATTATATCTAACAATCACGCCCCTAATCGTTGTTTGTTCACACTGATCTTCACAGCAACGTTGGTTCATCATCTTCTTTAATCAAATTTGCAATGTGTTCCTTTTGATCCCATTTTGGACATTCGTTCAAAAAATGCCCTAACTCATTGCACTTGAAGCACCTAATGCGACTCTTTTCCTGCTGAAACTGTCCACCATCCCGACTTTTCCCGGACCCCCGACCTCTACCTCGGCCACGTCCAAAGTCTTCTCGGTTTGAGCTCCCGCAACCACAATGCTCAGTTTTGTGCTCCTTAACCTTCTCTTTTCCATCACTTTTAGTGAATATTAGTTTACCTTGCATATCTTCGTCCTCGGGTTAAGGTTTGAAAACTGTTAACTATTCTCCTTTGTAGTCACAATCTGTCTTATTTTTGTTGTTCTCCCATTGTACGACTTTTATTCCTTCGACAATTTTCACAAAATTCTTAACTTCGATTTCTTCCCGGGTCGTAAGCCACCTGCAATCCACCATCAACCAGAAAACAAGCCCCTGCTTTTCCGTCTTCCAAGCCACTAAACGAAAGCTACCCCGCTGATTCGTTTTTCCCGCGCTGTTTGGATGGAATGCTTCTGCCAAAGGAAAAAATTAGGCACCTGCTATTTTTGTCCTAGGCGAGGAAGAATCTTGTCGAAGATTCTTGATCTGTTGTCGAGGAAGTCTCTAACGCTTTGTAATATGATTTGGCAGCCCTTCTACTCCCGATCATACAACTCCTGATCACAAGACAGACCGCTTCCTTTGATCGTTGGGTCCTTATTGGATTTTTGCTCTGATACCAATTGTTAGACAGGACCAGAACAAAGCAAAAAAGAATATTTTATTGCTGTAAAAACTGGCCAGGATTATTTGTGTTCTCTAAATATAAATAGAGAACAGACCAACATTACTTTTACTAACCAACACCCCTATTACAAACCAACACACCTATTAACAATAGAAACTGCCCATAACTGCCTTTTAGAAACTACCCACTGTTTTTTTTAATTAATTAAATACGTAAAACACACTAAACGACACCACACTAATTGACTCTATACTAACTGACCCGAACATTGACTCATTACCCATTCGGTTATATGTGAACAAACCCGATTATATCTAACACCTTCTGCTTCTTGTTAAAGTTGTATATGTTTAGCAAGTTGATCGGAGGTATTTTGCAAGTATACAAAAGCCTGATGTAGTAATAAAACCGGTAAGACCGGGTCGATTTCCAGAGGGACTTGGTAAATAAATTGTGCTTTAAAGAGGTGTGTGAAGGAGTGTAAAAAAACGCAGGAAATTAGGGCAAGGGATGAGGTACCGAGGAGTTCGGGACTAGCCAATTATAATATCTACTAAAACTAAGAAACTTCATTCAACTATTGCAAGTGCGGAGTCATAAAAGTACCTCTTGTTCCGATTAAGGAAACAAAAGGGTAATTGGCATCTACGTGCAAGTACCGGTACGTCTTGCATACATCTAGAGCCAACCCCAATAACGCTCAAAACTTCAAAAAGGGCACCGTCTAGGAGTTGGGTATATCTATATCCCAACTCAGCTAAACGTCTATTCTTCTAGAGCATGGATTATGCTTCAACGCTAGTTCCATCACAAAATCCCAAAAATAACACTAATCATATGTGGCCACCATAATCAAAGCACAATGATAACAAGAAGAATAAATTGCAATGATATTGAATGAAGAATCAAGTTTCAATAAAAATTACAATGGCATCGTCCCTAACCTCGGTGGAGGGATTTAGCCACAACACATTATGGAAACAAGCAAATACAACACAATGGAATACATTACAAAGAAATAGGAGAAGAGATTACACGGAGCAAGCCGAAATTCGAGGTCGAATGTGGAACCCTAGCCCTCTCCTCTAAGCTTGAACAAGAACACAAAAGGGGTGGAGAAGTTTGAGAACAGGATAGTTGGGGGTGATGATGGATGTCCCAAAAGCAAGGAATATATCTCCAATTTATGGTCTTTCACCTTAGATGAACGTTGGGGAAGATTTGGGGCGTTTCTCTCGTCGATTCTCCGCTCCAACGGAAATGTCGGGTGTTGTTTTGGCAAAGGAACGTGGCTGGACGATTTTAATTATCTGCAGGATAGTGAGTAACCGGCGCAGGTCAACATTGCCCTTCGCCGGATTAGAGCTCAGTAGCCTTCTTGCGCCTTGAGAATGCTAAACCAGCCCAGGTCAAACTTGCCCTCCGCCGGATTAGAGTTCTTCAAGAATTATGGCACAACTTGCTTCCTAAAATCGCCCGCTTTTCATTCAACATTCCGAAGTAAAGGTTTTGACGATTGATTAGCGCATCGAATCCCTTCACATTTCCTTGAAATTTGTGTTCTTTCCAAATATTTCCTCATTTTGCCACCCTATTCACAGATTAACGTTTATTAGGTAGATACAATTCTTGTTACTCTGAAACGTTATAGATTTGTGATTATAAAGTAACCAAAAATAAGCATTGATCACAAGTGCATGCGTGCTTTCTATGCATTGAGTCTGGTTGGTAGTGTTGGTATATGTGCTTATCCCTGTGCTCTTACTTTTTCCGTGCTACGGGGTTTACTTTGTTTGTGCTTATGTGTTTGAGGGTCTATTGGACACAACCTCTTTAGTCTTTACTTTTGATTAGGGGTAAGCTTTTGGAACACACGCCCTCCCCACATCCTAATTTTGTTGGATTTTGCTGGGGTTGTTTATTTGCTAGGATGATATTTCCCAGCTTTCTGGTTGGTTAGCCTTCTAATGCTCTAGCGTGTAACTTGGGTTTCAAAGATTGCCTAAAACAAAAGCTTTTCGTTTGAGTTTGTCATGTTTGACATTTCATGAAGTGATTATGGACATATATTGCACCATCAAACATGTCACGTCAGGCATATTTTCTAAACTATGTTGGTCTGCCTGATACAAAAGGGCAATGAAGGATCTTTTTTCTGACTTCTGTTTTTTTCAGAGTTCAGCATATCTGTTGACTTCTTTTGTTTCTACTCAGTTAATCTCAGTTGAAGCATCTAACTGACAGATCTGAACCAGCATGCTTAATTGAATGGCTTCTATTTTCCATAGCTTCTTTGTATCTGAAACTGATTGTTTCTACTTTGTTTTCAACTTTTAGATTAAGAAAAAGTCATCATTGTGTATAATCAATGAACTAGGGAAATATGTGAACTTGATGAGGAGTATATGAAAAGCTGGCTGTAGGCCTGTAATATCTTCTTAAAAGATTTAAATTTCAAGTTTATTTTGTGGTGATTGAATTATTTGAATAATGATACTAAATTTCTTTTCCTCCGGAGTTATCTAAGTGTAAACAAAATGCTCTTCCACTTGCTTTGAGGTCTGAACGTGTATGGGAGTGTATCTGAAACTTGTGTTGCTCCTGGTTCTTATGCAGTACAAGGCAAATTGATTTTCCTAATGATACCTTATGTGTTTCATGTTTTAATTTATAATGACTTTTACGACAGGGGTGGCTCCATTGTGGGATGATGTGATTGGCCACTTTACTGAGGTAGCTCTTTTTGATAGATACTCCCTCCGCCCTAAATGTTTACCACATTTCAAAAAACAAGGCGAAACATTAACACTATGTTTGGTTCAAGGATTTTGGAAGGAAAAGAAAAGAAAATGATTTTCTCTCATTTTCCTCACCAAAATAGGAGGAATTTGGTTTTCCCTACATGTAGTACATTTGTCTTCTCATTTTCTTTTCCTTCCACTTTTCCTCTCCAACCAAACATGAAAAACTGTTTTCCCCTTCATTTTCTTTTCTTTTCCCATTCAACTTCTTTGAACCAAACATAGTGTAAGTTTTTCCAATTCATTTTATTTTAATATTGGTATAGAAATAAAAAATAAAATTTACATATTTATAAACTACATGAAAAATTCTTCGAAATAAAAGGTGTCAAGAATACTTTATTTTACCAAATAATCAATAAAAATGTACAAATAAACAAAAGTTCCCGTGACTGTTGAAAAAGCAAATGTGCATTTTGGGATGGAGGGAGTATGTAATTGAGTATCTGAATGTTACTTATGCATTTGTTTCATAATTTTCATAACCAAATCTTTTGCAGCTCACAAGTAGTTCAAACCAACATGTTAGAAATTTGGCTCTGAATGCGATGGATCAATCTATATGTGCTGTTTTAGGATCTGAAGTGTTTCAGGAACAAGCTTCCTCTAAAGTCTTTGCCAGCAATGTGAGATAAAATTCCTCATTCCATTATGATCGTCATATTACCTTAAGAGAGATAAAATTAATAGCTTATAAATTAATGGAGCTATTACAAATTTACAAGATATTTATAGGATAAAGTCTTTCCTACTCTTCATTAGTATGTTTACAGTCGGAGTCCCTCAACTTTACTATTGTACTAGCCTTTACATCTATAATCTAACATTCCCTCTCATATTGGTGATTTTATATTAATCATTCACCATTCATTTCAAACATAATATACCCTAAACAAATCATACTCTTCTCAGGGTCCTCACATGTCTTCGAGAAATTATGCCTTTATCTTCCTTTGAAGAAAACAAAATCCGACTTCAATGGGGTTTGTTTTCGTAGAAGACTAGACTAGATGCAATGTGTAGAGCGGCTTGATTATCGCACCACAATCTTGCAAGCACTGGTGTTTTAAATCTAGTTTATTCCTTTAATGTTGTATTCAATACAACACCACAATATTCTAAGTCTACACTCCATCGAGATGCCATAGCAGATTACTCTTCCTGGATACTAAATTTTGACCGACAAAAACACAATGAATAGCCATAGACGTGATCCTAGGAGCCTGCCCAGTCAATGTCTGCAGAATATTCTATTTTCATATGTTTATCATTTTGATAGACAATACCTCGTCTTGCTGCTCCCATCAAGTAACACAAATATATTCTATATTACTATGCTGGACCAACTATCAACTATTTGAGTCTAGGTTGGACAGGGCCGGCAATTGGGTGCAGTTTGATGCTCCAGAAGCGTCGCGTGGGGCGGCTAGTGACAAACCGGAACTGTCATTGATGGAAATGATTCATCTGTAAAACCCAAAGAGAACGAAACCGGAAAAAGAGGTGTCATGGGTTTGTATTTGTACATCAACCTGATGACCCACATCCCATTTATTTTATTTTTAAATATTTGTATGCGTTTAGGTTAGTAGGTCGGCGATAAAAATTAGGGAAGGTTTTTATATATAAAACAGAAAGCATCTGTCCTCAGTGCGCAACCTTCAGAACTCATACTTCATACCAGCGGCCAACTTACAGCCGTGAATCCCCTGGAACGCTGTTCTTCCTGATGGACTTCCAGTTCACAGCCTTCTATCTTGTTTCAAAAAATTCTTTTTTATTTTTCAATTATAATAGCACTGCCCTTGCTCAATTTGATACCCGTATCTTGGTGTGTGTTGTCCAGAATTTCTATGCATTTGTTGTGTTTGTGTTATTTTTGCATTATCCTTTTTTGTTATTTGCAGTGTAAATTATCGTGCTTTTGCTCAATTTGAGGATCCCAATAACTAAGTTTATTTTTATGGTATACTCTCGATGTTGATACTTTTGGTAGTACTAGTATTTAATTATTCACCGTTTTGCTCAATTAGACATTATTGTTTACATATACACTTCTATTATTAGTTATTATTATTATTATTATTATTAATCACCTCCCTTCTTTTGACATCAAAAGATGATGTCATAATATGACATTGGACACCTACGTTGCTTGGATCGAAAAGTTGATGGTTCATATCCCCTCTAACCCCCTAACCCCGGCCAGCCTCAACACACCCCCGCACCCCCACCAAATGAACCCTTTTTAATTTTATTGTCTGGGGTCTAAAAGTGCCCAAATCAGACAATGTATTATGACATTGGCCTTAAAGTCAAAATAAGGGTATCTTACTTTGGGAATCCAACTGTGGCTGTTTCCAGATGACCCATGACTTTGGGGACTGTTTTCAAGAGGCTACCGTGGAGTGTTTTCTTCAAACGTTGAGGCCTGACATTGTGAGTGAGGTAAATCACCAACGATATGGCATACGATGACATGGTGTATGCAACTATCAGAATTGGGAAATGCCTTTGAGGCTAACACTTTATTTCCCGTTAAACAATGTATTTTGACTTGATGTATTATTGAGATGAGAGGGAAATCTTCAACCCAAGCATTTTTCTGAACATTCATTTGAAGTAATATTAGCTCTTGCACCAACGTTATATAAAATTGTTTTCTTACACAGTGAACTTCAAGGTGTACACAGAGCAACCTTCAAGGTTTCTTGGTCAGGGGGAGTGTAATAGGGTTTTAATGCTTATGAGGATTGAGGAAATGTTCTACTGCACATATTAATGTGCAGAGTAAAAGTTCTGATGCAATGCTTTCAGATTTTTTCATCAAGGGCAAAATGTATTTGAGCTAGAATATCACTAAAGAAATGACATCTCTGATTCCATGTGACATGAGCAAGAGGGACAGAATGTATGTGTCACATTAATGAAGGATTATTTACAAGATATTTGCAGGGCAAAGTCATCTTAAATCTCCTTCATAATTCTTCCTCTCAAGTCTTCTTCAATATGTTTAGAATTGGAGTCTTCATCAGCTTTACGACTATACCCATCAGCATCATGTTTTTTTGAAGAAGGGAGAATAGTTGGGAGACCTTTTCACAAAAGCATTCGGGTTAATTACTTGGGTAACAAGAACATCTTCTCTTGTCACCGCCATTTAGGAAGGGTCGCCGCAGCCAAAGACCGGTTCTGTAAGCTTCACTGCCGTTGGACTTGCGCGTGCTCTGCATGCACCACTATAGTCCTCGGTCAGTATTTCATAAGTCGGCGTGTGAGTCACCGCATTCCTATTTTGTGGCTGCCATTCAGGTAGCCGAGGTCGTCTTAGTTAGGGCATGGACTTTGTTGGAAGTTTGGGCTTGTATGCCGGCTTATATGTTTTGATGGGTTGCTCACTGCTCTCATTTCTGTTTGCGTGTGTGGTGTGAATTCCTTGTGTTTCTGTTTTTTATATCTTGCAGAGATTATTGGAGTTGCATCTCATTTTCTTAACACATGTTTGACTTCATCTTCTTCTCAATAAGTGATTGACTTAGGGGCCACAAACCATAGGATAGGTCAACCTAGCTTATTCTCTATCTCTAGATAAACACATAATGTATTCAATTTGGCTGATGGGTCTACTTCTTCGATACGAAGGTTTGGTAGTGCTAAGCCTACCCCTTGCCATCCAGTTTGTATTTCCTAGATTTGCATTTTTATTTGTTCCTTCGAAGCAAACTTACTCGTGCTACCAATTGTTGCGCGACCACATATCTTTGATCATTGCTTCTTTCAAGCTTCAAGGTTTGTGGTCAAAGAGTATTAGTTGTACGAGGCATGAGTTGGAGGGCCTCTATATTCTTGATAGTGATATATCTAAAGCTCTTGCTTGTGCAGGGGTAGTAACTCCATTTAATTCTCATTGTTGCCGAGGACATCCATCTCTTCTAATATGAAATCAATTGTATCTTGAGTTCAACATATCTTTCTCATACTGTGAGTCTTGCAAATTTGCCTAACATCGTGTGCATTTGAATCCCAATATCAATGAGGAGGTAACAAATTAGCGGTCGTGTAACTATATAAACCACAAATGGGTAGGCTTTGATATCATGTTAATTGGGCCTAACTACACCCCAAATTGGTCCTCAAATGGCTCAAAGGGTATAGATTTGCCAAAATTTCTAAATTACACTAAGGTCTCATAACCCATCAATCAATGCGAGATAGATAACAAGTACCATCATCATTTCCATTATTGTTATTTTTTTGGGGTTAACTTTAAATATATATAATATGTACCCAAGAGTTATGCAGAAGTATAGGCAGGGCATTCTCCAACAACCTAAAAAAGATTGCATACCTAGGCTAATGGAAAGCTATGATCCAAGAACCAATATTAGTGTTTTTTTTATGCTGGTATTTTCTTATGATGACTTGAAAACAATGTTTTATTTTTGATGACCCCACCAGGTTTGCTCTGAGAATATAGAGATGAGATCACTCGAACGTGCTATCATATCTCCCTTAACAACCCTTTATTCTTCAACACAAAGCGTTGATATTCATGTTGCATTGCTTAAAATTCTTCTTCATGTTTTGGAGGTATTGTAATGTAATAAACATATTTAGAAGTGATTTAAAATTTATGCACGCTGGATCTATATATTCTATAGTCTTTTATATGTTCACACCCACATTTATGCACGCTGCATATTTTTTTTTTCCAGAGGCATGGAGAAAAGCTGCATTATAGCTGGCCATATATTCTTGACGTTCTAAGGTGTTCATTGTGTTTGAAAAGTTATTTCCTTACTGATCTTCTGCTTGATTGAAGTGTTTTTGGATGTATTCAGATCATCTCTTGCTCCTTTACAAGTTGTTTTGACTTTTGTGCAGGTCTGTGGCGCATGCCGCTGAGAAGGATCTCATTTCTCTTGGATTCCAGGTGCGAACATAAAATGTTTTATCAAGAAGAAAAGTTTCCATTCTGACATACTTTCAAATTCTTATGCCTGCGTGTCTAGGCGTATATACTTTCTGGTTTTAGCAATTGATACTCTGGGTTTTCATGGACATATTTAATGGTCTAGATCTTAGACACCATTATGATGTGTGCGTTAGTGGTTGTTAAATGCCAAGCCTTGGAATGCCAACTCGTGGTGCTATTAATACTACTATTGGGTATCATCATATAACCAATACTTGTAGTAATTTCATGATGTATAAGCATAGAGACATTGGACGAAATGATATGAACAAGATATGCTTAACAAAGTATAATTATTATCGATTATGGTTCTAGCCTTTCCAGAATAAAGTGTTACGGAGTATTCTTTATGTCTATCCTTAACAAATTTTGAATCTTAAAATGCTTACTTCTTTGAGTAAATTATATGAAGCAGAACATGTTATATTCTATTATAAACCATCTGTTACATCCTTTCTTTTTATCATTTTACTTGCTTGATGATTATTAGGAGTGGTTTCAACTAATGTAAATGTAATTCTTGAATTGGTTGATATTGTTTCCATTACAGTGCCTCCGCATTATTATGAATGATGGCCTTTCATCAATACCTACTAATTGCCTTCATGTGTAAGTAATAATTTGTTCTCACAACCGTACACCTTGGATATAAAGCCATGTTTAAATTGTTTGGTGGATTACTTATTTTATATGGTTAACCCCAATTACATGATTAGCACAGTAAACCTAGTTGCAGAAATATGAGGCTACTATATCCTAATTATCATAATCAAAGACAGATTCTTCATCTTTTGCTCTCACTTTTCAATGTAAGCTGGTGTATAAGACATAAACAGGGTTATCTGTATTCCTTTATTCTACACACGTTAAATAATGCATACTCCTTATTATCGCTTTCTTTTCCTTCAAATCTTGTTCTCATCTTTTATTTGCTTTCACTGCCACGAATGTGGAAAAAATCTTGTACCTTTCACTACACTTGCTCATTCACATTCTTGTAACCTTTTATGCCATCTCTTTTGTTGCTTTTGGGTCGCAATATGGGGGAGAGAATTGGCATCAAACATGACTCTCATCGTGATCCCGTTGCATGTGTATGATGTGGGCGTTGCCCATGCAACGTGTAACACACAACTTAAGTTTGCCTAAACTATCTAAAATGTTTGTACACAAAACTAACAAAGAATGGACTCCAGAAGTCTAAACATGCCTGAAAGACCAGAATTGTGTAAGACTTTATGGAGAGGTCTAGAATGTTCCGGAAGAGTATAAAAGTATAGAGAGAAATATCTTAGATATTCTTGTGTTCCTAAATTAATATTGTTGTTTGACTTCATGTCGTTCAAGAATAATTATGAGAAGTTAAAGATGCGTGGTTATGATTTGCTTAAAAGAGAGAAATTATGTGAGGCACATTCTTTTCCATAAATGGAAATGAGAAAATTGCAAAACTTATTTTGGGAATCATTAAGGGGAAAGTGAATTAAGTTTGCAAACATATGGAGTATTTGTATGGAAGAGTCTAAATGAAGGAGATCTTGGTCGTTCGTTGAGGAGGTGGTGGAGTATAAATACCCTTTCCCATAGGTCATCTGTAACCACTCATGCAAAGCACCAATGCATCGAAAGCACTCATCAATAGCCTTTTTTTGTTTTTTTATACAAGGCAACTAATTTTTTTCTTTTGAATTAGTTACGGTGAGCGATAGGACAAACAAGAAACACTTAATCTTTGTGTGAAGGTGAGAAGATTGGTTTCAAGGCGAGACAACACCTTTGACTTTTCTCTCAATCTTTCTCTCATCTCCTTTGCATTTTTGGTTTGCTAGTTTTCTACCGTTGCCGCAGTGATGGGAGGGCTAGGAGGTGGTGCCAAAGACACACGATATCCCCCTTGGAACCCTGGTAAACCGTCATCTTTGAACCAACCCACCATAACCTTTGCCCTCTTCTCCACCATCCCCAAGCCACCTTGGTTCTTGTCATGAGTCCCCTCCTCGCCACCGAACTAGATCCCAAGTCTTAATTTTGTCCCTACTCCCCTCTGCCATCCCTAAGCCGGTCCCATCCCACATCTTCAACATTGTCCTTCAAATCAAGTTCTTAATCCTAGCCCAACCACCACTTCCAACGCGTCCGTAGCCCTCCCCGCCCTAATACACCACTATTCCCAACACTCTTCGTCCCCCTAAATTCCCAAATCCCGGACCTACCTCTAGCGACCAATAGCCTTAACCCACCTTCACCTTGCCCCCTCCCCAACTTCAGCCTTACAGAATGTCTATGTGGACTGGAACACAATTTCTCATCACAGTCCTAACATCCTTTTATTTTTATTGTATTCTTTGGTTTAAATTATTTCTTGTTTTTTGTTAGTGTGCATAGTTAAATTCTTACTTTCCTGTGTTCTACTTCTTTGTTAAATACGTAGTACTTGCTTGTCTTTGTCTCGTGTTTTGGTAGTGTTGATGTCCTACCCTTTTGTTTTGTGCTCGTTTTTTGTGGGTTTCTTATTGTCTCCCTTTTGTGATGGGATGTGAGTAGTCTAGGTATGGTCTCTCTTTGGCTAGTGATTATGTAAGGTTGTATCTCAGTTTTGTGGGTTTGGTGGGTGGGTTGGCAAGGAAGGTTATGGGCGCCTAAATTGGGATTTGGGTCATAGGGTCCTTAAGGGGAAGTTTATAGAGTTGGTGAAAGTTTTTAAGAAGAAGTTTCATGTTGCGTGCAACCAAAAAATGAGATGAGCAGGCACCAAAACACATGATGTGGATGTGATCAAAATGTGGTACTTTGGCGCTCCAAGGAACAAGAATGGGCTTGGCATTTTGAGTGATCTAGATCTTTATGAGCTTGTGGTCAAGGTGATAAGGGTTAGTGATGTTCTAATGTCGATTAAAGTTGTTCTTGTTGGGTGTACTGTCAACGTTATCAACGTTATCAGTGGCTATGCAACCAACATAAGCCAATTGTGATGGTTGTCTTGATCAGGTGGGAGAGGACAAGGCCAGCTGCACGTGGCCTCTAGAATGACGATGTTCTAGGGAGGATGGTTGTGGCCTCTATGGAGGATACTTTGAGATAGTCTGAACGCATACTGAGGAGAAGTCTAGTGAGACGATGTGAGAGGCTTGAGGTAGGGGATGTGAGAAGCCGTTGAGGTAGACCTAAGAAGAGTTAGAAGGAAGTGATTATACACGACTTACAAGTTCAGTATCTTACCAAGGAAATGGCCTTAGATAAGACTGTCTGGAGGTCTAATATTTGGGTGATAGGTCTTTAAGGACTTATGTTTTTGGTTTTTGCCTGTGTGCTTGTGCACCTTTGTAGTTTCTTCTTGTATGCTTGTTTTGTTTGGGTGATTTCTTTGTTCGTGCTACTTTCCTTCACCGATATGCTCCACTTTTTCCTGAGTCGGGGGTCTCTTAGAAACAACCTCTCTACTCTCTGAGAAAAGTAAAGTTTTCGTACACACACCCTCCCCAAACCCCACTATGTGGGATTTTTACTAGGCATATTGTTGTTGTTATGAGTCTGGAAAGTTGGCATCACACAAATAGGAACTACAACCTTGTAGCCAATACAAGGGGCCAACTTCTAAGGAGAACAATATAAATTCAATTTCAGCATACTTAATTAGAGTGTTGGTCTGAATTGTTGTCCACAGCAGATTCCTCTTTGTAGTGGTGCACATACTTTGATGTTGTGGTGAATGCAGATATTTTGCCTTCATACAGGAGGTGTTTGAGCAAGACACGTATTGTTAAGAGTGTGAGTTTGGTGGAAGAGTGGTTCTTGATTTTGTCTACTTCAACATTTTCCAAACAAATTGGTTATGCAATTGTCATGTAGACTAGAGTCAATAAAATCAAGTCAGTATGTTTATTCATGAATCTACACTAAACTCTTTCCTATCTATGGAATAGGAGAACGAATTGGGGAAAGGTGGAAAAGGAACTTTCTAAACAATGCTCTTGTTTTACTCCCTTTTCAATTTTAATGCAATATGGAAACTAAGATATTGCCAGTTATAAGGAATACAGAATAATGTATTTCCGATAGTGATAGAATCACTGGGTTGGTCTTACTCAACTTCACTACAAGACACTTGATCAAACCAAATTCATTCAAAATTTCCACGTAGAACTCATCAATAAACACACACATATATCCCATCCACACATGACAATTTCAATGAAGTGCACCTAGCCTAGTTGCATGTGCACTAAGAGTGGGTTTTTGCCTAATTGTGTGTTAAATGACAAACGTGCTTTGTGGGCTGTATGCTGAATGTATTCATCAATAACTAAATATTTCATGTGAAATTATTTTGGTTGAAAATGCATTGAACTTTTTGACCCAATCTAAGGAAAATGCATGCTTGAACTTGACTGGTTTTGCACTGTGTACACATTCATGCATATTTTATTTATTGTTACATCAACTCCTTGCAAAGGGGTATAGGAACTGACTGATCTGAACTTATTTTACAGTTGTATCGATGTTACTGGATCATATTGTGCACAGAAAACTGAACTAAACATTAGCCTGACAGCTGTAGGCCTTCTATGGACTTCTATTGATTTTCTTGTCAAGGGGGCCAAGGGGCTCCAAGATGCTCACGAAGAACATAAAGAATCTGGTGAAAATATTTTGAGCTTAATATTGAATCACCCTTCTCTTTTTGGATCTGCATTTTTGCAATTTATTGCGCTCAAATCCTTTTCCTTTTTGTTCAAATCATGTTTCAGATAAAATAAACAATGGGATTATGGAGGAGTATAATCTCACTTCTTCAAATAATTATAGGGAGCAAGCATTACAGCTTAACGTAATTGATCGTGACAAATTGTTATTTTCTGTTTTCTCATTACTACAAAGTCTGGTAGCTGATGAGAGACCTGAGGTATATTGTACTCT